TTTTTTTTTTTTTTTTAATAGAGATGGGGTTTTGCCATGTTGCCCAGGCTGGTCTTGAAGACCTTGGCCTCCAAAGTGTTAGCATTACGTAAAGACGTGAGCCACCATATCTGCCTGGTTATTTTTATTCTAAAGCAGTTGATAAATGCCAGAGACTTGCCTAAGGTCTCACTAGAAGAACAATCCAGTTCCTGCAGTGACCTGATGCTCCTGCCAAGGTCTTCACTTGCTCCGCAGTCCATCCCTGATGCTGTAGCTCCAACATTCCCTCTGTCCTTTCTTTTCCCCAGTGCTGGGTTCCCCTTCAGAGTCCTCTCAGGACCCTCCTCTGCAGACACTGCCCCTTCCTGGGCACTCACCTGGGCTGTGGAAGATCTGAGAGACTGAGGTGACACCTTTGGTTGTGAAGCCCTTCAGAGCCTGGTGGACACAGGCGAAGTCCTTGGGGTAGGAGAGGACGTTTTCCAGGTTTGTTTTGGTGTTCTCCCCAGCCCCTGCAACAAACGGCAGACATGAAAGATACTTGCAGGATGAGTCGGGGGGCCTTCCTTGGGAATGAGGGTTGGGGACCAGGCTGGAATGGAGGGTATTCCCTGCTTCGGAGGGGTCACAGATCATCTGAGCTGGAAGTGTTCTCTCTCTCTTTTTATACACATCTAGATGTGTATAAGAGACAGCCACCTGCTTCGGCCTCCCAAAATGCTGGGATTACAGGTGTGAGCCACTGCGCTTGGCCAATTTTTAAAATTTTTTGTAGAGATGAGATCTCTCTATCTTTCTGAGGCTGTTGTTGAACTTCTGAGTTCAAGCAATCCTCCTGTCTCAGTCCTTCACAGCTGGAACTACAGACACGCACCACACCTGGCCAATTTTTAAAATTTTTTGTAGAGATGAGATCTCTCTATGTTGCCCAGAGGCTAGTCTCGAAATTCTAGCCTCAAGCAATCCTTCTATCTCAGCCTCTCAGTGTTGGAATTACAGGCACAGTGCGCCAGACCTGAGTATTGTTTTTATAGCTTTAGAAAAAAAAAACAGCTTGAAAAAAAGTTTTCCTTTTTTTCAAAAAGGGAGGTGGGTAGATTAGTGTAATGGTTATCAAACATTTTAAAGCAGCAGAACTACTTTCAAACAAAGGCATGTCTGAAGCCCACAGCATAAAACGGGCCATGGATGAGGCTGGGTGGGGAGCTCAGAGCCCAGCTGGTCCTCTCACAGGAAGTAGTGAACCCTTCCCCACGGCTGAGGCTCCCCACACCCCACTCCCACCGTGACTCCACAAACAGCTTTGCAAAGCCCTAGGGCTCTGAGGAACACAGTCGGAAAACAACTACATTAGATCGTTTTGTAAGTTTATTATTACTGTTATCACTATTACCTACTTAATAACGTAATACATGTAAAATGATAACAAAGTCACATAACACAAAAATAAAAAGAATGAGAGTCCCAAGACTCCTTTGACCCAAAAATTAGCAAAACAGTTTTTTGTCTCTTTTATGTCTATAGCTCGCTAGCCCTCTAGCCCTATCTATTAATGAATGCATATGGGTATTCTTATTCTTTTTTTTTTTTTT